GACACTACTAGACTGTTAACGATGATCTTAATCTGTTTGGGACTCAGTAGAAATCTGATTTTTCTGATATTACGTAACGTATGAAAACATTTCTTCTTGAGATTTACGATCTGTTTATCAAATACCAGCTGATTGTCCATTACTAATCCAAGGTTCTTAACAGTAGGCACAAACATTACCAAAGTGTTAGGAGCTATATCAACGCCATGAAGTTCTATCTCACTGAGCACTTTACTAGGTCCAAAGACTATGAGTTGTGTTTTAGAATCATTCAGTTGCAGGTAGTACTGTGACATCCAATTCTTTATCCTCAAGAAGCAGTTTCTCAGCTGATTGGTTAAGGTTTTGACCTGATCAGAGGGTTTGAAAGATTTCATGATTTGATGATCATCTGCATAACCAATAATGGAGAAACCAGATTCTTTAACACATCTGTACAACGATCTGATATAGATGTTAAAGAGTACCGGGCCTAAAACAGAGCCCTGAGGTACTCCAAATCGGATAGTTATTGTTTCAGAGACAGATTTGCCGAGTCTAGTCCGCTGACAACGTCCTTTAAGGAAGCTGGTGAACCAGCTAAGAGCAGTTCCTCTGATTCCTATTTCTTGCTTCAAGATACGGAGTAACAAAGTATGGTCCACAGTATCAAAGGCAGCACTCAGGTCCAAGAGCATCACCACAGTAGCAGTTTTTTCATCTGCTGCTATTAAGACATCGTTCACTATTTTAATCAAGAGTGTTTCAGTGCTATGGTGTTTTTTGTAAGCAAACTGCTCCTGACAATTAAGGTTATTCCGACTAAGGTGCTCGTTAAGTCTTCTTAAAACTACTCTTTCAATTAGTTTTCCCAGGAATGTAAGGTTTGAGACTGGCCTGTAGTTTTTCAATATATTCGGATCCTGAGAATCATCTTTTATTAGCGGAATTACATCAGCTAGTTTCACACCATCCATACTTCCTGATGACAGCGATTGGTTGACTAGATCAACCCATACATGCAACAGAGAAGTGATATTATCTTTGACAAGATCTTGTGGTAAGACATCATTAGGTGAACAATTAATTCCACTTTCTTTGATTATATCTTCAAGTTCAGAGATACAGGTTGGCTCAAATTCAAAGAGAGGTGTTGCATTAGTGTCAGAACAATCGGGTATTGGGGAGGCTGGTATGTTATCTCGAATCTTTTCAACCTTTTCTGAGAAGAAATTGTTGAAGTCAGAGGCGAGCACTTCAATATCTTCAGTGTAGTCAGGTAGAATTCTGCTTTGTTTACGATCCAATACCTTATTTACGACTTGATAAAGAGTTCTAGTTTTATTCTCCGATTTTTTAATAACAGCTTCCACGAAGTCCTTCTTTTTAGTGTTAGCAAGTGCAGTAGCCTCATGACAAAGATCTTTGTAATGAAGAAAGTGTTCCTCTGATCTATTTTTCTTCTTTTCGGCTAAACGACGTAGTTTTCTCAGATCTCTATAATCCTTGTCAAACCATGGGGCTGTGTCCACCACAGACACTCTTTTGCTAACTAAAGGAGCATACTCATCAAGAAGGTTTGCTATAGAGGCACCAAGAGTCATTACAGAGGTCGAAAACGATCCCGATAAACTAAACCTATCAATAACATCGTTCAATTCACATGAAAAGGCATCCTTGTCTATGGCCTTAATATCTCTGAATTCAATCGATTTGAAATACTTCTTACCCAAAGTGTTGCTGATGTTACAAATTATAGGAAAGTGATCTGAGCCCAGTGTGTCGCTATTGTCAATAAACACATTATTGCAATTAAGATGGTTGTTCAGTGAGAAAGTAAACAACCTGTCAAGACATGCACCCCCTATGTGTGTTGGGCGATCATACTGAGAATGAAAACCATATGATTTAAGTATTTTGAGAGTGTCAGACGCAACTCTATTATTACTATCAAAGTGTATGTTGAGATCTCCAGCTAGAACAATATTGTCACATCGAGTAGAAATATCAGAGAGCAGAATATCCAGTTCCTGAGTGAAAGATGAGGTTAAGGGTCCCGTCCTGTACAATACAACAAATAGAATCTTGTTGGAGGTTGTTTTGACTGTGCCCATTGTGAGTTCAAAGTGTTTAAACACAATTCTACTCTTTTCCATAGAGCAAGTCAAACTTTTCCGGAAGATGAGCGCAGTGCCTCCCCCTCTCGCATCAGACCTGAAGTTATGGTGAAGAGAGTAGCCACGTTCTCTTAAAGCAGCTGACAGTTAAACAATTTACCTTAATGTAACTATATTGTCTAAATATAAATTGATATGAAGTATAATTAATAAAATATGTTAGATAAAGTGTGTTTATAATTATGATTTATGGTACATTGTTATTTATTATATTTATATTTTAGGATGTAACCTTATTAGTTCAATGGAATAAACCTAGCATGCCTTGGTTGCAGCATCGCTTCACTTATAGGTGCATTTAGGGCCCGATGTAATTGCTATGATCAGTTTACTGGTCAACTGGTGTTTCGGTGTCCCTTATTTTGTTTACACTCGGTCACTTGTCAAGGCATGTAAGGTCATTCGGCGATATTTTCTTTGAAATAAAATGATGTATTTGTGTAACAATTTGAAAGTTTATTGATAAAAAAAGAAAAAAGAAGCAGTCCACCTGCCAGCTGTATATCCGATGACCCCGCGGGGGAACTTGACGATACAGCTGATAATTGTACTGAAGTTGATGAGGAACAAACCAAGACGGAGCTAGTCCAGTATCCAGAGACCCTGGACCTCTGTGAGCTGGATGAGGACGATATGGTCAGCGCCCTGAGTCCCCGAGGTATCAGCGGTCTGACCACCTCTGATCTCCTAGGAGATCTGAACAAGACCCCCAACTTTGTGCTCCCTGCCATGGAGTTACTCTCCGGACTGGGCATTTCTAAAACTTTAAAACGGAACAAAAGTCTAGACGATCACTCGATTTCGGAGTCTGGAACCCCGGAGACAGACTCCGGGTACGCAGCGAGCAGTGCTCCGACCACGCCCTTAGACATGAGCAAGACTCGGGGTAAGGAGGTGATGAGGGCCGTGTTTGGGATTGAGGAGCAGGCTTTAGATGTGGAGTTATAGAAGCTTTTAGAAGGTTCTAGAAGGTTCTAGAAGGTTCTAGAAGGTTCTAAAGGTTCTAGAAGGTTCTAGAAGGTTGTAGAACTAGAAGGTTCTGAGTATTGAGCACTGAGCAGTATCATGTGCTCTGTTTTTCAGGATATGTGTCATCGTGTGATTGAAAGGTTGAAAATCAGTAAAATTGACGATTGTACAAATCGTCGATACAAGATGCTATGATGATAAATTGAAAAGTAGACTTACCTGTATCCAAGAGTTGGACGAGAATCTTTCTATTGAACACATAGGCTATCACGCGTAAATTTTTCGGCTGATTTTTAACTTATCAACCAACCAACGAAGACACAAATGCATTAAAGTTAAATAATGTTTTGGTCACTTTGTAGAACTTGGCTGTGACATTGGAATGTTTGGCAGATGAACCCTTATCTGAGAAAGTACTCGTGTAGAATGTGTTTTACCTTTTAAAGTAGCAATAGAATATCATGCAGCCAGAAATAAATTTTATGGAGAAAATCATTTTTAATTTGATCTGATTCTTATGCCTGATTCACATACCTAGCATGAAATATTTACCTACTTACTTGCACTTGTGTAAGTCTGTTGAAGCATTAGTATCGGGCGTTGCCTGCTACAGGCTACCCCGAAACTAGAAGCTTGCTTTAATTAATTAATAATAATCTGATTCTTACTGATTCTAAGTTATAATTACTAAAGCTGCGAAGCAGGAACACGTTAAAATTTAAAGATTGATTTTTACTGCAGTGATTTGCCGAAGTGACTTGTTTTGAAAATCTATAAACTGCTGATTTGGAAATTTATTCTGGCTTCCATTTTTCAGCTGCTATAAACACCGCAATTTTTTATTTTATTCTGGTTACCTCTGAATTCTAATTCTTGCAAACATTTTTCGGCTGATTTTGACTTTTTGGCTTCGATCTTATTTCTGCGGCCCTGTTATTCTTTCCGACAGTGATTTGAAGTCTATAATGCTATAATGGTGTAGTAACAGTTACTCATTCGGTTGAAGCTGATTTTAAAACTCCATCTAGAATATTATGCTGAATTTAGACTGATCCAAACTTTTAAACCTTGTGTTTTTGGTTTAATCCTACTGTTCTAATTTATATAGGTCTATATTGCGTTTATCACTACTTACAAAATATGGATGGTCGTATATTATGTAGGTGGTAAAAGTAATCTGCTTTGGGAATGGTTACTGTATCCACGCAATGTCTGGTCAAATAACGTCCGATAAAGTAACTCAACACAAAAACAATTAAATAAAACACAAAAAGACGGTTTTCCGAAGTTTCTATGGCTTACCTTGCTTGAAAGGGTATGGTCATCCAAGGGCGTGGTTCTCAAAATCATCAGAACTTAAGACACATGTTATTAACCACGGTACCAATTATTAGACAGGACGTGTTAGTTGCAAGTACCGAGCAATAATCACCTCTCCCATGTCGATGATATTTAGTGCTTTATTTCCTCCAAGATATTATTTATTTAGAGCTCCTTTAGACTTGGCTAGAACTATAAAACATGGGAGCCCCGGTTATATATTGACGATATATTTTCAAGCATATGTTATTTTTTAGCTCAGTATTCATGATATTTTCTGGGATGACTAGTTCAAACACTGCTGAATATAAGATTTATCTTAAAAGCGGTGTCATTAAATTTCAATTTATTATTATTATTATATAAGAAGAGTCCGTCTCAGAAGGTTCTGAACTCACTATTAGTATTGAGCGTCTTAAAACTTTGGTTTTAGGGAAATTATAGTTTTGCTGGAATTTAGATCTTCATGCTACTTTTTATTTTATTTGTTGCGGTATAATGATTATAATTCAGACTTTCAATTTTGGTGGATTAACACAAATTGATACAACAATGTAGAGCAAGAATATAAATCGACTAATAGTTATATATTTAATTAACACAAACCTTCTTTAAAGATTTTTTTTTAAAATTTGAAAATTCAATTAATTATTATATATATAAATCAAGCGTTACATTTCAGCCATGCAAAATTACAATGACATATTTTGATATACTTATTGATAAATGGTACTGCAATATAAGTTGCTTAATGTTTGGCCGGATGAAAACTAACTAAAAGAGAAAAAAAACTTGATTACATAATAATTAATTCGGCTGAACCAACACATAGCAAGAGCCACATTAACGTTGGGGCCGTCTACCAAATTTGAATGACAAACAATAACAAGAAATCAAACATATCATGAATAATTATAAGCATGTCATTCATTACAATTCCGTCACAACTAATAGAAGAAAAAAGAAAAAGACAAGCGGATAGGATATTGGACGGACAGAATTGTAACCAACAAAAACACATTTCTGAGACTCATAAGACTGATGAGCTAATCAGGCCAGACTGTATCGGCAGCCCAGAGGTACTTGATCAGTTTGGTCTTAAAAGTAGAAATCCGCTCTGACTGCCGGATACATACTGGTAGACTATTCCATTTCAGCATAACAATGTAAGTAATTTTTATATAACAATGGAAGTAAGTTTTTATACTACACTAATTAAATATCTTAGTATCAAAAGTCTATGATAAGGTCTTAAGGCAATCACCTTTCAAAGTCTATCTCTAAGCTACGGTGTAGGCGGAATGGAGTGTCTCGATCTTTAACAGGTTGGCCGTCACGAATGGTGGAGGAAGTCTGGTCTGAAAACAATATCTTTTAACTATCGCGTTAAAACAATTTATAACGTAACGAACTTGAAAACTACTTTAAATTTGCACGTGTAAATATTGTTACAAAATGTAATGTCAAGTCTTGCTCTATGATACAACATTTAATCAATTAATATTTCTGGTCTTCGACCTCCTTTCGCATTCCAACTGCTTCAACTTAAGGGGGGGGGGGGTTCACCCTGATTTTTTTGTGAAACTTGGTTTCGAGATAGCAGTTGACCAACAAACTATGACCAGTGACCGAACTTTTGAGGGGGTCCCGGACCCCAACCGCCAAACGGTGCCCGCGGGGCAGCCACGCCCATATTTGGTCCAAATTAGGCCCAATTTAGCCAAATACCATGAACATGCCCAAAATCCCGATTTTAGGTGATCTACTTGTAGCTAGTGGTTCCCTGAACTCGTATATGAATTTTCATCAAGATTGGACAAAAAATGACTGAGTTATGAGCAAAAAACCATATGACCATATTTGGGCATACGCACCAAATTTGATCGATTTTGGCCCATAAATTGGTCAAATATCAATATTTTTGAATGAAACCAACTTTATATGGAAGGTAGGCCTATACTACACATTATCTATGATTATTCTAAATTTAGCAGTGCAAATTTTGGAATTTGGCCGCCAAATTTTTTTAAAGGCCTAACTCAAAATTCTGTCCCAAAACTTAAGGTCATGAGACAATTCTACGTTGATTCTGAAAATTTCATGAAAAAATATTGAAACCCTATTGAGTTCTATTGTTTTGAGCGAAGTCAGTTTTGCAAATATCGCGAACTGAGATATGGGCAATTTTGTTCATTTTTTGCGATTATTTGAACATAGAACCCACAATTAGGTAGATACTGAGCTGATAATCATAGATAATGTGTAGTATAGGCCTACCTTCCATATAAAGTTGGTTTCATTCAAAAATATTGATATTTGACCAATTTATGGGCCAAAATCGATCAAATTTGGTGCGTATGCCCAAATATGGTCATATGGTTTTTTGCTCATAACTCAGTCATTTATTGTCCAATCTTGATGAAAATTCATATACGAGTTCAGGGAATCACTAGCTACAAGTAGATCACCTAAAATCTGGATTTTGGGCATGTTCAGGGTATTTGGCTAAATTGGGCCTAATTTGGACCAAATATGGGCGTGGCTGCCCCGCGGGCACCGTTTGGCGGTTGGGGTCCGGGACCCCCTCAAAAGTTCGGTCACTGGTCCTAGTTTGTTGGTCAACTGCTATCTCGAAACCAAGTTTCACAACAAAATCAGGGTGAACCCCCCCCCCTTAATCATAACTTTTATTTTATGCACCCTTACCTACTTATTTATTCTTATGTAATCATGTATATTGTATGTGCATACAGGCGCAATCTGAGCTGACCACAATTCCGCAGTTTAAAGAACTGCCCTTTGTTTCCCGAGGTTCGATTTTTAATCCCCTCGATCACAACAGCTACAATCGCTTACTTACTGGACGATCATAAAGACCAGGTCGCGTTAAGCTTGTGTAGGCCCGACTGTACATTGAGCAGGTTACGCAATCTTTTAAATTAAAGAATATTACGCATATGTGAACCCACCGGCAAGGGACCCAGTCTGTACCGATGGATGACCAGGGGATTGGCACTCCTGGGTGCCACCGACGGTCTGGCCAATAGAGGACTTAGCTGTCACAACTATGAACTTTTTTTTCGCTTGCTTGCAGTTCACTTAAAGTATATCTTATCTTCCTAATTATATGATTTCCATAAAACATGGGTAATTTTCCACACTTTGTGGGGTTCAAAAAGATAAGATACTAGCTAGGTGTGGACTGTCGTCCCCTTACCACCCTGTTTCACTTGCCTGGTGACGTATTTCCAGTCCTGGGGGTGACCAACTCCAGGAATTGAACGCCAGGCAGCCCGAAAACACAGCCGACTAGAGGGTACCAAGGCAGTGTGTTAATTCACACTTCGTTAGACACGGGGTCTTCAGTTACTCTCCATCAGTGTTATAATATGATTTAACGTGTTCCTAGATCCTCCTACTGTTACACCTGGGATTAGTATAATTATTATTATAAAGGAACCCATTTTCCTAAATTGGAATATATATCTACTACTCTATGCAGACGTTGTAACTGAACTAACCGTCTCGGCTGACGAAGGAGAATCAATTATTCTTGGCGCCCGATCAAGCTGGTACCGACAATAGCAAGTAACAACACGGTATTAGCAGGAATCCTCGTAGATATGTGACATTAATTAGTAACCTAGTAACCTAGTAACCTGGTAACCTGGTAACCTAGTAACCCGATCAAGCTGGTACCGACAATAGCAAGTAACAACACGGTATTAGCAGGAATCCTCGTAGATATGTGACATTAATTGAGAATAAGGAACTACGATGTTGTACGTCACAACATGGCCTGATGACGTCACAACATGGCCTGATGACGTCACAACATAGCTCACTGTACAACTCCTCGTAGATATGTGACATTAATTGAGAATAAGGAACTACGATGTTGTACGTCACAACATGGCCTGATGACGTCACAACATAGCTTACTGTACAACTCCTCGTAGATATGTGACATTAATTGAGAATAAGGAACTACGATGTTCAACTATAGACTGAAGGATATCTGGAAATCCAAACTCTTAAAGATTCTCAATTGCTCATAGAGGCTTGTGAGTCAGTACTACTCTACGGATCAGAAACCTGGATACTGACAAAGGCTCAAGAGAAATGTTTGGACGGGACATACACAAAGATGCTGCGTATGGTGCTGGGTATCTCATGGAAGGACAAGGTCTGTCAAACAAGTTAGGAAACTGGAAATTAAAATTGGTGGGACACTGCATCAGACATCCGGAGCTACTTACCAGTGATTTGGTCTTATGGGAACCTATGCATGATAGATAACAGCAAGGCCGACCAAGACAAAGCTACTTGTCTATGTTACTGAAGGATGTTGATTGTTGGGACAAACTCTAAAGAGGAACTGTAAACCATGATGCGGGACAAGGATATATGGAGGGGGTTATCTGGCGTAGTTCCGACATATGTATAATATATACTTATATATGGGTAAATTAGACCTGCATTATTCAGGGGAACGGCCCGGCCCATAGCAGGGTAACCAGGATGGCCCAGTACCCAAAAAACCTGATTAACTAGCACGGATAAAAATGTAACAATAGGTAAAAAATATATAACAATACTATACCAGTATTTAAGATGCATAGTCTAGAAAGATCAAACTGGGTTGTTCCTTCTGTTAGTCTTTTGAGAGAATCCATAGATGACTGCCGTATTCTTCTCTCTGTTTCCTTTCTTCTATGTGTCGTTATAACCTAACTGTAACGAGGAGTTAAAGAAATGTCTTGTATGGTATACTATGGTCCTGAGAGGTAACAAATTAAAAGATTATCTTAAAGGGCGGTAGAGGTCAATGTAACAAATAGTAGAGCAAGACAAAGGGAGCTTCCTTTCACGATCTTGAAGAAGGGGAGGGGAGTTCCGACATAGGTGCCAGCGTAGTTGACTATATGGCAGTCACACCTGAATTGTTGGAATCAGTGCTGTCATTCCAAGTGCAGAATCTTAACAAATTTTCTGACCACAAGCCGTGCATCTGCAAAATAAAGCACAAACACAACTTGGTTGATGCAGAGGATCTACTTGAAACACTAGAAGACGCACATAAAAATACAAATGGGATAATGAGGACGAGAAACTTCAATTTCAGTTTCATGCGATCCAGAATTCGCCAGAATTTGTTCAGAAAATAACCCGAATCGCGGAAACCCAATGCACAGACAGAGAACAAGTTTTGTGTCTTAATGAAGAACTCGTATCTATCTTCCAAGACATTGCCGATGTTATTCTTCCGACAAAGGGTCCGAGGAACAAGCCAGATAGGAAAATAGTGAGCGGAAAAAGAAAAAGGAGACAAAGGATGAAGCCCAAAGCTCCGTGGTTTGATGTAAGTTGTATAAACGGCAAGCGGGAGTTGAACAAACTGTCCAAAAGTTACGGCAAAAATCCTACGAATAAAAAACTCAGAGACTCTTACTATGAAAGTCGACGATCATATCGGAAACTCATAAAACTTAAAAAGTCTGCATTCATAGAGGACCTATGTAGTGACATCGAACGAGGCAAAAATATTAACTGGTCCCGTTTCAAGAGGCTTAAAGATATGAAGACAAATGGAAGCAAATTGGACGTCTTTGATATGCTTAACTTCAGCAAATTCTTCAAAGAGCTGTATAGTAAACCATCGATCAGCCCTAAGAAAATAAAAGAACTACAAGACGAAATGGACAGAGATGCCACCCAGCAAACACTCACAGAAATCCTTGACCAAGACATAAGCTCCGAAGAACTGTTGGCTTGTACTCGAGTGCTCAAGAAAGGGAAAGCAGTGTCGGAGGATTTAATCCCCAATGAATTTCTCAAACTCTCTGGAAAACATATGCAGTGCGCTATACTGCATCTCTTTAACCTATGTTTATCACACAGAGTTTATCCCTGGGGAACATCTGTTGTGACGCCTCTGCACAAAAAAGGCAACATCTACGATCCCAACAACTATAGGGCAATTGCAGTAGCCAGCAACGTGGGAAAACTGTTTGCAAGTATTCTCCTCCAGAGACTTATAAAATTCCGTGCTGAGACAAACCCTGACACCCCCAATCAACTGGGGTTTTGAAAAAACGCGCAAACAGCAGATCATATATTGACACTGTCGACTTGCATAGAAAAATATGTAAAAGCTAACTGACAAAGGCAGATTGTTCTCCTGTTTTGTTGACTACGCCAAAGCGTTTGATACAGTCTGCCGGGAGGCACTCTTGTACAAACTCTGGAAACTAGGCATCAAAGGAAGATTCTTTGGTTGCATGGAGTTCATGTACACAAACTCCAAAGCAAAAATCAAGCTCTTGAACAAGCTCTCTGAAAAGATCGATGTTCTTTGCGGGACTGAACAAGGACACCCCATGTCTCCAGAACTCTTCAAATGCTTCATACACCAACTATCAGAAGACCTTAATTCTATGGAAAATGTCGAAGTACCGTTACTGAAAAGTACTAGAGTAACCCACCTCCTCTGGGCCGATGACCTGATTCTGTTGGCTCTCGATCAAGAAAGTCTTCAAAGAATGTTAGAAGTTTTACACACCTACTGTCAAGAGTGGGGGTTATCGGTTAACATATCAAAAACATACTTTTTAATACTTTCAACACTACTATATAACAAATAATTTGAGAATATGAGTATGACGTAGAAATGTCGATACGTTATTCAGCTATTTATTTCCATTAGAATCTGTCATCACTGAGTCTATTCAGAAACAATCAGAAATTTGAATAAAAGAACTATCAAATCATGAGACTCAAAAACACTACACGAATCCACCAGATATCAAAAACAGCAATTATGGTGTTTAACCGGGCAGGACGGGTGCTCAAGGACAGTACTAATTTTTTCTACGGGGAAATGACCTTGCCATCAGTGCGTGAGTACACATATCTTGGAATTACGTTCACACTCACGGGATCATTAAAACTTGCACAGATAAAGCTTAGACAAAAAGGGCTCCGGAGCTACTTCTCTCTCAAAAGTATGCTTGACCTTCGATACCTCCGGAAGACAACTGTGTTTAAGCTTTTCGACACTCTGATTGTTCCTGTTCTATCCTACGGGTGTCAGATCTGGCTTCCCATGACAAATTTCATGTCTATCTTTGCTTCGGGGAGTTATCCGGCTACTCAGGATACAGCAAAAGACCCCCTGGAGAAAGTTCACCTATCATTTATGAAATGGACTATGAATGTCAACAAATCGACTTCAAACACCGCTGTGTGGGGTGACACTGGAAGATACCCGCTTGCCATCGAGCTTACGTCCCAAGTCTATAGCTACCTCGGGAGGTTGGAGGGACTGGACAAAGAGGGATGCTCTTCTTTAGTGAGGCACGCTTACGCCGAGCAGAGGGATCTGAAACTGTTATGGTTCTCCCGGCTGGAATCCACCAAGAACACAGTGAAAGAACTGACAGGAGGAAGTGATATTTCAAACCCGCTCAAAATCAGCGAGGCTATGAAAACCCTTTTCGTTCAACAATGGAACAAAGAGCGAAAACTCAACAGAAAACTAGGATTCTACAACCTCATCAAGGCAAGCTTCGGTTGCGAAACATACCTGTCGATCAACCTACGGCCACAGCAGACTAGGAGACTTGCGCAACTCAGAACAAGCTCGCATCAATACAACATCGAAACTGGAAGACACGGCATACATCGACAAAAACTTTCGAATAGGGCATGCAAACACTGTTCTACTACAGATGTGGAGTCACTCGATCTTCTTCTAGAGCTTCCTTTCCCTGATCCAATCATCGAAGATGAACTTCATGTATTGCGTACTTGCCCTCTCTATGAAGATCTCCGCCACTGTTTGTCCCAACAAAGTAAAACATTACTCTTCTCTGACATTGGACAGATCTTCGCACACCCTACAACCATCGGAGACCTAGGAAGGTTCCTTACCAAAGCTCATGAACGAAGATTCCCTAAAGCGTCCCCCAAACAAATTCCTAACATTAACAATATTGCCAAATTATAATCTATGACTCGGAACACTTTCAGAAAAGTTCATTTAAATTATTAAGTATTTTGAATGTCACTCTTAAGATTTACGGGGTATATATATATATATTTTATGACTTTTGGGTAAATTTAATTTTTTATATCTGGTCAGACATTACCATTGTAATTTGACTTTTGAATCGTTTAATCCGTTTAATCCGTTTAATCCGTTTAGTAGTAGTAGTAGTACTCTTATTATTCCTAGATCTAACATGCTGAGATTAATAGAAAAGTAATCTACCTCTAGAACGAACCTAACACGCATGATGGTCTTAGGAATGGTCATCTAGTTTAGGAGGAATCTTATCAACAAAACTGCAACATGTATTCGTGTCTGGTTGAACCTGGATAGAAATTACTTATTACTAGCTGCATTGATTTAGATGAATGAAGGAAACTGGAATAGACAATTGAAAACAATATTATTATAAATTCACCTGCATAAGCCAGGGGAACGGCCCATAGCAGGCTAACCAGGATGGCCCAGTACCCAAAAACCTAATTAACTAGCACGGATAAAAAGGTAACAATAGGTAAAAATAGATAACAATACTATACCAGTATAAAATGTATAGTTTAGAAAGATCAAACCGGGATGTTCGTTCTGTTAGTCTTTTGAAAGAGTCCATAGATGACTGCCGTATTCTTCTCTCTGTTTCCTTTCTTCTATGTGTGGTTGTAACCTAACTGTAACGAGGAGTTAAAGAAATGTCTTGTATGGTATACTATGGTCCTGAGAGGTAACACGTTAAAAGATTATCTTAAAGGGCGGTAGAGGTCAATGTAACAAATAGTAGAGCAAGACAAAGGGAGCTTCCTTACACGCTCTGAAGAAGGGGAGGGGAGTTCCGACATAGTAGTAGTAGTACTCTTATTATTCCTAGATCTAACATGCTGAGATTAATAGAAAAAGTAATCTACCTCTAGAACGAACCTAACACGCATGATGGTTTTAGGAATGGTCATCTAGTTTAGGAGGAATCTTATCATCAAAACTGCAACATGTATTCGTGTCCGGTTGAACCTGGATAGAAATTACTTATTACTAGCTGCATTGATTTAGATGAATGAAGGAAACTGGAATAGACAATTGAAAACAATATTATTATAAATTCACCTGCATAAGCCAGGGGAACGGCCCATAGCAGGCTAACCAGGATGGCCCAGTACCCAAAAACCTGATTAACTAGCACGGATAAAAAGGTAACAATAGGTAAAAATAGATAACAATACTATACCAGTATAAAATGTATAGTTCAGAAAGATCAAACTGGGTTGTTCCTTCTGTTAGTCTTTTGAGAGAATCCATAGATGACTGCCGTATTCTTCTCTCTGTTTCATTTCTTCTATGTGTCGTAACGAGGAGTTAAAGAAATGTCTTGTATGGTATACTATGGTCCTGAGAGGTAACAAATTAAAAGATTATCTTAAAGGGCTGTAGAGGTCAATGTAACAAATAGTAGAGCAAGACAAAGGGAGCTTACTTATACGATCTTGAAGAAGGGGAGGGGAGTTCCGACATAGTAGTAGTAGTACTCTTATTATTCCTAGATCTAACATGCCGAGATTAATAGAAAAGTAATCTACCTCTAGAACGAACCTAACACGCATGATGGTCTTAGGAATGGTCATCTAGTTTAGGAGGAATCTTATCAACAAAACTGCAACATGTATTCGTGTCCGGTTGAACCTGGATAGAAATTACTTATTACTAGCTGCATTGATTTAGATGAATGAAGGAAACTGGAATAGACAATTGAAAACAATATTATTATAAATTCACCTGCATAAGCCAGGGGAACGGCCCATAGCAGGCTAACCAGGATGGCCCAGTACCCAAAAACCTAATTAACTAGCACGGATAAAAAGGTAACAATAGGTAAAAATAGATAACAATACTATACCAGTATAAAATGTATAGTTTAGAAAGATCAAACCGGGATGTTCGTTCTGTTAGTCTTTTGAAAGAGTCCATAGATGACTGCCGTATTCTTCTCTCTGTTTCCTTTCTTCTATGTGTGGTTGTAACCTAACTGTAACGAGGAGTTAAAGAAATGTCTTGTATGGTATACTATGGTCCTGACAGGTAACAAATTAAAAGATTATCTTAAAGGGCTGTAGAGGTCAATGTAACAAATAGTAGAGCAAGACAAAGGGAGCTTACTTATACGATCTTGAAGAAGGGGAGGGGAGTTCCGACATAGTAGTAGTAGTACTCTTATTATTCCTAGATCTAACATGCCGAGATTAATAGAAAAGTAATTTACCTCTAGAACGAAACTAACACGCATGATGGTCTTAGGAATGGTCATCTAGTTTAGGAGGAATCTTATCAACAAAACTGCAACATGTATTCGTGTCTGGTTGAACCTGGATAGAAATTACTTATTACTAGCTGCATTGATTTAGATGAATGGAGGAAACTGGAATAGACAATTGAAAACAATATTATTATAAATTCACCTGCATAAGCCAGGGGAACGGCCCATAGCAGGCTAACCAGGATGGCCCAGTACCCAAAAACCTGATTAACTAGCACGGATAAAAAGGTAACAATAGGTAAAAATAGATAACAATACTATACCAGTATAAAATGTATAGTTCAGAAAGATCAAACTGGGTTGTTCCTTCTGTTAGTCTTTTGAGAGAATCCATAGATGACTGCCGTATTCTTCTCTCTGTTTCATTTCTTCTATGTGTCGTAACGAGGAGTTAAAGAAATGTCTTGTATGGTATACTATGGTCCTGAGAGGTAACAAATTAAAAGATTATCTTAAAGGGCTGTAGAGGTCAATGTAACAAATAGTAGAGCAAGACAAAGGGAGCTTCCTTATACGATCTTGAAGAAGGGGAGGGGAGTTCCGACATAGTAGTAGTAGTACTCTTATTATTCCTAGATCTATCATGCTGAGATTAATAGAAAAGTAATCTACCTCTAGAACGAACCTAACACGCATGATGGTCTTAGGAATGGTCATCTAGTTTAGGAGGAATCTTATCAACAAAACTGCAACATGTATTCGTGTCTGGTTAAACCTGGATAGAAATTACGTATTACTAGCTGCGTTGATTAAGATGAATGGAGGAAACTGGAATAGACAATTCTAAACAATATTATTATAAATTCACGTCTGAACTCCTAATTTAGAAGCAAGACAGCTAAATTAAACGCTCACATCAAATTAAGAAAAATAACTTACTGGATTACTACGACTAGCAAGCTTATCAAAATATAGCGTAACTGGTCGAAACCGGCCAACTGGCCCCTGAGTACTGGAACAACCCTATTGGCTGTGCTGGCTTAAGACTGCTCTATCCTCCGATCGTCATCCCCATATATCGTCTCCGAATCTCACAGAGTCCTGTGTCTGCTGCTCATTATCTTTAAACTCTGCCGCTCATTATCCATTCTTACGATCCATAGACCACCGTCTGAGACTGTGATTGGCCGATCTGCTATCAGGTGTTCTTCTGTGGTGTTCTGATTGGACACCTCCATGGAATGTCATCAACCGTGTCGAACTGTCCCTTGGTTGAACACCAAAATATTGATTGAGAATGAGGAATTACGATGTTCAACTACCTTCTTATTATTTTTAGATCTAACATACTGAAATGAATAAAAAAGTAATCTACCTCTAGAACGAACCTAACACGCATGATGGTTTAAGGAATGGTCATCTAGTTTAGGAGGAATCTTATCAACAAAACTGCAACATGTATTCGTGTCTGGTTGAACCTGGATAGAAATTACGTATTACTAGCTGCGTTGATTAAGATGAATGGAGGAAACAGGAATTGACAATTGGAAACAATATTATTATAAATGCACGTCTGAACTTTTAATTTAGAAACAATACAGCTAAATTAAACGCTCACATCAAATTAAGAAAAAGAACTTACTGGATTACTACGACTAGCAAGCTTATCGAAACATAGCGTAGCTGGTCGAAACCGGCCTACTGGCCCCTGAGTACTGGAACAACCCTATCGGCTGTGCTGGCTTAGACTGCTCTATCTTCCGATCGTCATCCCCATATATCGTCTCCGAATCTCACAGAGTCCTGTGTCTGCTGCTCATTATCTTTAAACTCTGCCGCTCATTATCCATTCTTACGATCCATAGACCACCGTCTGAGACTGTGATTGGCCGATCTGCTATCAGGTGTTCTTCTGTGGTGTTCTGATTAGACACCTTCATGGAATGTCATCAACCTTGTCGAACTATCCCTTGGTTGAACACAAAAAGCTTCATTTGTTAATTAAACGTAAGCTTCTTCTATAATTCGGATACACTTCTTATATAAATAATCTGCTAAACTTTAGGAGATGTATCTTACACATAAAATCATTCAAGCACAGTCAATGACTGGAAATTTTTAGTAATTTTCATTACACCAAATAAACAAAATGCCTTTATGCAATTCATGTATGAACAACGAATCTCAAACCACTAAAATTACTCCTTTTTACTAAAATAGCCAATTTTAAATATTACCGTGGCAGGAGGATATACAGGATGGAACTTAAAATTATTTTATTTTTAATTGAACCTTATGAGCAACGGATATAGAACTTTCCTGTTTTCAGCACATCAAATTGAATTGAATGTGGTTTAGCTTAAGCAAGGATCCAATTGTTATCTGAGAAAAACTTTTTTAATTTGTTCTCGATAAACAATGTTATTTTGTAATTTTACAAAAATAAAACAACGAATTCCAAAAAAAATGATCATCGATAAATACGTGGTTTAAATATTTAAAGCCGATGAAAAGTAAGCAAATAAACTAAAACAGCTCCATCTAAATAGTGGTCCTGTTAGTGTTAGACTTTCTGTCGTGCACTCTTAAGTATTTCGAGGAATAAAGAATGTAAAACTTAATTAGTAAGACATTCAATTAACATAGTATAAATATCTCCGGGATTTCGACGCGGGATCATATTATCACTCAGCCCGGCCCGCTGTTAGATAAACATCTAAAGGTGATATCATCCCGCCCCGGAAATTTGTATAAACCCGGCCCGCTTTTTAGTCGTAACTGATGTTTATCATTCAATTCTCCGACTTACAATAATCAATGATACCGCTTATTAGAACTCGATAATAGTAGAACAGTTAGACGCGCGATCACGTGGGCGCGTCTTTAATGCTAAGTACCAAACAACAAGTGGGAGGTGGATCGTTGGTACCATTAAATCGATTTAACACCGCAATTCCAGTCGCAAGCCTGGGACCACTACTAGCATAGTCACAACATCTACAAAGCTGCCATATAGCCTGACTGACAATTTTCTCAACTGACTGACAATGTTTCTTCTTTTTCCCCATTTAGAATACAAAGATTAGTACATTTTAGCTTATGATTAATATTATATTTTTACCTATAGTTTACTTAGAGTGCGTACCACGTGCCACCAATAGCATACGCCGAGTCTATACCACGTGACACGAAAGCGCACCACGTGATATGAAACATCGTAACCGTCTACTTCTTTTACACGCAAATTCCTGGGAACGTTGCCAAAGCAGCTAATTCTTGGAATTTCTCCAACGCGTGGCGTGAGAAGTTGGCGACTAGCCAGCTACCCTTGTCCGTGCCCTAAAAATAGTATTGTTTTGCTTGCTCTCCTTCCAGCTCTTGTTCCTGCTAACGTTCAAGCTATTGCTCCACTATGACAGATCGGTTTGACATTCAAATCCCTTGTCGAAATCGCCGGAGATAATTATAATCCATAAACACTTCACGCTCAGGGCTAAATAAATGTAATCCCTCAGCTGGCGCTTCGGGATTACATATTAACACAAAACTCGTGCGCTGCGCGCACTCGTATGTGTTTATCAGATCATCCCGCTAGCGCGGGATGATCTGTTATATAAACCCTTTGCGTGGCGGGTTTATGTTATTTTAACTCATCATTAGAGCATTAGTATTTAGTCTTGATATCAGTTTAATAAGTTGGTCAGGGACCGGCCTGATGTACCAGCAAATGTTTACCTACAAATATATATAATGATTATTATCTATTAAAAGTCAAAAACTCACACAAGATTAGATATTGTTGAAACTATCAAAATGGAGCTTATTTCAAAAAACATAGCTGAGCACAGTTAAAGTTGCCTTTAGGATTGTAAAGCAGTCTTGATACCAGTTTAATTGGCATTCTGTCATGATGAAAGGTACAACTCTTCAAAAATGAATAAATCATAATTCAGAGCCCCATTATAGAATAAAACATAGCAGATGATAATATTATAAACCCCTCCAGGTTAGAATAAGATTCGATTATGATTGTCCCGGCTCCCGCTGTGAGTTTTGATGACGTGTATCACGTGACTAACTACTACGACGCGCATTGGTAAAAAATTTCTCGTGATCACCTATGGCTTAACGTAAGAACTATAAATACACTTGATCTACGTATCGGTTTAATTGCAGGCGCTGGCAAAATTCCAGCACACTGCTTACATAATTACTTGTACTCTTACATTACTTGGACCAGTTCCAGAATTTGTCTCGACGGTTACATTTGTCCGGTTAATTTTGTCGTAGCAAAATTGCCCTGTTTGATATAAGCCATGTATTATAGTCGTCTACTTTGATGAACTTCATGAAACGATATCATTATTAGCTCCACCTTTTATCGCTTGCCAGGCTTAACTCGACGCCCCTTATCGATATTCATTCAACGTTCTGACTGAGGAATAATGTTTAAATAGAACGCCAATTTCAAATGTCGTAGTATACCTTAGTTTTATATATTTAGTAGTATAATATACTCCCCAATTCCATTTCATATTTTCCATACTGATCTCATATAGCTAGAATTAAGAGTAAAATGTCAAATTTGTTGATCCTAGCACTAATCCGGAGGGGTTTATAACACATAACACCGGCACGCTTCAGTTATATTAAAATAACCCCTCGCGCTGAAGGCAAAGCACATCGGGGTTATTTTCACAATAATCCCTCGTGCTTCGCTCTCGAAATTATTATCAATTTTTCCGGCCGCACGTCGCGGGAAAAATTGAAATTCAATCCCTGCGCATGCCGGGATTGATCTTCTATCTTCTAACATGTACGACTACGAGTTACAGTATCAATTATCATAGAGTAAACACTTCACCGATTTTCTGTCTCAGCTAATACTTGATTTGAAAGTTCCCGATCCTCTTGTACTCTTATATGTTCCATCTGTATGACATCTAGATCATTGTTCCCGCTCTGTATGTCTTCACTCCTTGACTGAATGAATCTTGCAACGGAAGACATAACTGCAGAGATACTTAACCTGATAAGTCTTTTTACCTCCCCCAACTTTCTGCCTAGGAACTCTGCTAATGTTTTTTCGTATATCAGCGGGTTGATAACAGAGTTAAGTGGAAGAGCTATCATCGCATACGTCACATACCATTCAGTAGCATCGAAAAATTCAAGATTATGCATACCGCTTATAACAATGAATGGTACCCAGCAAAGGAAATCAGTCGCAACAATAAGAGTAATTTTATTCTGTATAGACCTATTTTCCCTAACTCTTTCTGGGTTATGACGCTGTCCTGATCTCCGTGAAGAAATCCTTGTCTGGATATAAATAACTATGTAGCAAACAGAAATGATGATGAAGCAGACTAAGTTCACACCAAGCATAAGCCAAACTACTGGATCTCCTTTTTGATCAGTTATGTCTGCTATATTTTGTATCGTTTGTCTGATTCTTCTTGCATCGTCACTTCGAACAAAGTACTTGAATAAGCAAACACCGTCGTTACCATAAAAGTGAACTGGACGTCTACTCAAAAGTCCATGTTGCTGAGTGAACATACCGTCCACCTTATCACTGATTTGTTTCCAGGTTAAATCCATAGTGATGTTACTGTTAGTGGTATTGTAATGTGCTTGAAGAACTTTAACATGTTTCTCTTTGTTGGGGAAGCCAATGAACACTTTGTAGGCGGGGTCATAGTACATTCCTTGTACAAAATATTCCTCTAATGAAGGCATTAATGGTGTAACAGCTATAGCTAGTGAAGCAGTGATAATACCCGTTACCAAGAAACCAACCTTGATGACGGAATTTCTGTTAACAGGGCATGGAATACTCATTTTCTTGAAAGTGAGCTTGTGCATTCTTATGATACTCAAGGATGCCATTGCAAAAAGGGACACTTGTGATCCAACTGTGCTGATGACCCCTAATATGGAGCATGCTGTTCCGGTGTACCAATCGGCTTGATGTCTGCAAAACCCGTTCCCATATACAAAACTATCATAGAAAGACAACATAATTAAGTATAATCCAATAAATAGATCCCCTGATCCGATAAGACTGACCATTGCCTTATTAGTTAACATACTTCTAGTCCCACTATCCTGAAGAGTTTTCAGCCCACAGAATACGGTGTACGAGTTGAAGATCAATGCTAGCACACCCATGACCCAGCACAATACTTGCAGTATCCAGTTTTTAAGTATTCTTTTCCTACAAGCATCATTGCATTCGTCTGAAAGGTCAAAGCAATCATACATACCATCACATCTCTGTGATAAGGAAATGAATTGATGATTAGTTGAGTTTAAAGTGTCTTCGCAGATCATGTTATTTGAACAGTTTGCTTCGTCACTCATGTCCCCGCAATCATTTACAAGATCACACACTTGATTGTATTCAATACATCTACTATTATTGCATTGGAAATAGTCCTGGTGAAATAGGTCTTGATTTGATTTGTCAACAAACGTTAGAAAAGAGTTGTTAGCAAGAGTATATACTCGGTCAGGATATTGTCCAGGACATGAATTGTACAACAATGTTCTGTTTTTATTTAGAGGACATGGGGCATCTGAACATAGATCCATGCAACTGAGAAACAGGTAATATTCACCAAATAAATTGCTGCAATTAACCTTAGAGGTCGGAACGATTAACTCTGACTTTATTCCGAATACATCAATCCAGGGTCGTATGAATTCTTTTACTTCACAGTTGGAGTCAATGCTTACATTTCGCAATCCTCCGTGATAAAGAGCAGTCTTATTGATCGTTGGGAAATCTCTAGCGATCCTACAAACCCCATTCTCTGCACCGTCACCACACGTCTCCACTCCATCACAGAGTTGTTCGAATTGAACGTATGATTTATCACCTTTTGGACACAGATAGACGTTATCGCAAGTTTCGTCACTTTCTTTAAAACGATAGGTTTCGTCAGTTTGATTGTCACAGAAGTTCAAATCCTCAGCCTGTTCATCTAACCCGTCCATACAATCCACCTGATTGTCCATTATCCAAGAAACTGGTATTCCGGACATATTTATTTTTAAGTTAAACCTACGGACACATTGAAATTCCTTCGTCATGTATTCACATAAATCATTAAGTTCGTCACTTCTATCAGTACAATCCCACACTCCGTCACACATCCTGTGTTTGTGTACTCTACAATCAGTTGAAGTAGACGGTGATATACAGTTGTTTTGAAAGTCATCGTCACATAACTTTACTGGTAAACTAGTCTTCTCATCATTTTTATAACACAATATGTACTTAGAAACACTCGAGTTATACCCATCAATATCACAATACCCCACTACTCGCTCTATAT